AAATAAACAATACAAACACATGATATGATTATGGAGTTCGGTCAACCACTTGACCTACGTCTCCGCTCCTTACCTCGAGGAGATCTCTACTATCACAACCGGGTTTTCTATGCTCGCCCGAATAATGTTTACACATCACAATATAGTTTTCTAGTTCATCAAAAACTTTACAACTTACACACTTGCAAAAACACTTCATACCCTCTAAGTATTGGCCTAGCCCATGTCACCTTCCTCAAGTGCTCGGATTTACTATATCTCCCTAGGGTTTACTACCGATGCTACGTCTCAGGTCCCCACTCCCGGGGAGAATCTCCATTATCGACACACCCGGTTTGGAAGCCGGAACTTCTCTACACGCTCGGTTTTCTAGTTCACTAAAAACTCTACAAGACACTCACAATGTACATATACAAACTACAACTTCAAGTGTTGGTCCTCATGTATCGCCTCCCTCAAGTGCTCGGCTTTACTACCTCTCACTAAGCTTTACTACCGACGCCACTCCTCTTGGTATCGATTACGTCCTCACCACACACTCCTCTCGGTATAAATGTGTATTACAAAGTGATACTCTCAAAATATGGCTTAATTACAAGATTTGTTCTCTATAATAGATGAGAACACAATTTAGGCTCACTCTCAAGATTACACTCACCACAACCTCAAATTATACAATATGTGAAAATACTTAAGCTCAATGGTTGTGTGTGCAAGCAATAAGAAAAATTAAATATAAACTCAAATAAATCTAGCAAATATGAATATAACAATTGAAGCATAAACAAGCTAGGGATATGAGTTTAGAAACACTTCTCTAATAACAAGAGAGAGGGATTGGAAGATTGAAAGCACAAACTGAAATTGATCTCCTCTTCTTGGAAAACAATCTTCACAAAACTGATTTTGTAAACAAACACTTAAAACAAACTTAAACAAACTTAAAACTCTTTTTAAACTTGTTTTAAAACATTCTCTAGTTAGGGCCCGTTTGTTTGCACGGAAGTAACTGTGAAAGAGTAGAAATAGAGGAAGTAGATGCTACTTCTGCTACTTCTAGGCAAAAATGTATGTTTGTTTCTCTTAAAATTTTACTTTCGCTACTTCCTTAAATGATGATGTGGCGTCTACGTGGCACCTCTATTTCCTTAATATTTTTCATCTTCTAATGCACTGAAATGCGGCGGAAGTTGATGTAGGATGGGGTCCACGAGAAAAAAAAAAGATTCTTAAAACTATAATTAGGGAAGTGATGAGATTTCCTTTTTATATCCTCAAATTGCGATAAGAAAACACAGGGTATAATGTGTACGTTTGAAATCAATACTTAACTGTTATTGTCAATCACAATCCATAGACAAGAGAGCATGACAAAACTTTAAACTCGCAATTTGAGGATTATAAGTCTTTAACTTTAAAATGACTAGAAAATGGCGATAGTCTTTAAACTCGCGGTTCTAGTCCCCTCCGACTTTGCCAATTTCTAGTCATTTTATATCTTCTTTTTTTGTTTTTAACTCTCAAATTGCAAGTCTTTAACTCGCAGTTCTAGTCCTTGCTACTTCCCCTTCTAGTCATTTTATATCTATATCCTCAAATTGTAAGTCTTTAACTCGCAGTTCTAGTCCCCGCTACTTCCCCTTCTAGTCATTTTATATCTATATCCTCAAATTGCAAGTCTTTAACTATATTGTTGAAGTGTGTGTGATAATTAATATAGTTTCATATAGTATCTGAAATATTAAGTATTTTTACAATGCCATGCGTTTTTAATAGGAACGCTCAATTTGAACCCACAACAATTCTATTTCTATTTCAATGACAATCCAAACAAGAATAAAATGGAAGTAACATATATTAATTACCTCCTAGTAATATTTCCAAATATTATCCAAACAAAAAAGTAAATGAAGAGGAAGAAGTTCTACTTCCTATTTCATAATTTTGGAAGTTACTTTCGTAACATACTTCTTACTTCTAATACTTCCATTATCCAAACAGGCCCTTAGTTCAGAAGTGAAATGGTATATGGTATAGATAGGATGAAAAACTAAAGCTCAAAACCCAAGAAAATCCAGCAAAAAGACAAAACTGTAAAAGGTAGGAAAATAGCCATTGGGATAAATCAACGACTGACGGGTTACGTCAGTCGACTGATGAGCTGACCGTTGTAGGCAAACGGCAGCTTATCAGTCGACTGATAAGCATGGTTAGTCGACTGATGACCTCATCGGTCGACTGGTCAGTCGACCAGAATTAAATCAAAAACTTTTTGAGATTACAAGACATTTCTTCAGTCGAATGCTAAAATATCATCAGTCGACTGATAACAGGTTTTCAGCCTGTATTGATTTTTGAAAATGAATTTTAAAGTCCTTTTAAAAATAGCAAATAAATTCCAAAAACTATAAAACTTTGGGAAGAGTTTATAAACATGATTATGAACATGTTGGAAAAGGAATTTTTCAATTCGCTCTTATCATTTGTGAAATCTCAGAAAAATTCGAAAGCACTAAAAATACATGTGTTTTAAACTTGTTGATTTTGACATTTAGCTCAAATCAAGTTCTGAAAACTTGTGTAATATTTTTATGGACTTAATAAAAGATGTTAACAACGTTTGTGTAGTCCAAATCATATTAAAATATATTTTGCATAAAAACACCTATATTTGAGAAAATTCACAAATGAAATGTGTGTGTATATTTAAGCTTATAGAATTTGCACACATTATATAAACCTATACTAAGTATACTAAGAATAAATCTTCTAAAGCTTGAACTTTGATTGATTGACTTGATTTGCATAGGCTTCAATATCAATGTAGCTCATTTTCCTGTGTATACTAAACAACACAAAACAAAATACTAAAACCAATATTAGTCGTAAATTATTTGTTAAATCATCATCAAAACAAGAAGACCAACAGGTTTCAGATCAGTGCTTTTTAAGTACAACATCTCTTGGAGGAAGAACAGAGTAGAATCGCTGAGATGTGGTGTTCGGAAGTTATAGCAAATGTAACTAGGCTTGGGATCCATATGGAGATAGGCCCAGTCCGGGTTTCAGTGGGCTGCTTAGATGAGCTAATGTAATTTGTACAAGGTTTTTATTCTCTTAATTGCCCTCTAAATGAGAAATTTGGAGTGGGTTTACTAATAGTCTAATTAGCATTATTCTAGGGTGAGCGTAGACCAGTTTGAATCACGGGCCGAACTGGCCTAGCTCGTCTTGGGTCACCTAGCCTGGCCCACAATGGGCCGGGTCTAGCTAATTTAGCATGTTATATACCCGGGTCATGGGTTAAGCTTGGTTCTGCTATAAACCCATGCACAATGAAGTAGGTCAGACTAGTGCCCGACCCAGCACACGTAGGACCTAGCCCTCTCCAGCCTCCTTAGGTGATAGTTATATTTCGACGTATTTTAGTAGCAACTCAATTGAAAATTACAATATGCAAGTGTTTGAGTTATAATTTTAGTAATAATAGAGATATTCTAAGTTCAATTCAGCATTTTGATGAATATTTATAACCATTTTGATTTACTAAAAACACTCAAATTATTGTGAATATTTTATCCTTTGAGATAATTCCATAAAAAATTAAAAGGAAAAAAATTGAACCAAAAAAGAATTTGAGCCAACCATTGACCAGAATCGCCATGGGCCAGGTTGGACCCAGCTCGGCCCCATGCGGGTCGCGGGCTGGGTTGGATCCAGCCCTAGACCCTAGACAAAGTCCTCGATCTGGCCTGTCCAGGCCTATCTAGGTCCTAGTCTGAACCAGCTCAAACCAAAACCGGGTTGATCGGTTCATGGGTTTGGCCCGGCCACGTGCTCCCTTGCACTATTCCTTTTAAATTACTTATCAAATTATTACTCAATTTTCAACCTTTGGAATCCCTCTCAATCTAGCATTTCAAAAATAGGGATTAAAATATTCTCTTAAAATAATTATTATTTGAAGAACAACAAAAATAATGGAATATGAATAAGGATTGTTGATCAGGAACTTATTACAGACTAACTCCATAATCTGTAGTCATGTGTAGAACTATTCTTACCAAATTTTGATTGTCTTTTAAGATATTAGTGACCACAAATTTGACATGCACTCAGACCTACTAATTAGCAAAACTCCTCATAAATTTCTCTTTTTATTGGCCGAAAATTTACTTCAATTTTTTGTGCATTTAAAATTTTCTTTTTAAAAAGAGAAGTAAACATAAAAACTAAATTCTCGATACAGTGCTTGTGAATCTATTTCAAACATTTTTCACAGGTTTTTGGAATTTTTAAAAGTAATATATTGTAAGAACTTTTAATAAATCATGAACATTATTTTTTTTATTTTTTTAACTATTAGTTCATAATATTTTTTTGATGTTGGTCGAGCATTGCAAAATTACCAGAGATCAAATTGTCAGATATTATATAGACATTTATTTAACTGAATTTTACGATTTAACGGATCTGAGACCAAAAATTTTAAAAGTTTCAATTCAAATATTCTAAAAAACATTTTTAAGCGAAAAAAATCAGCTCTATGTTTTCCTACTAGAAGACAATTATAACTAAAGAGATGAAGTTGGAATGTTGGATTATGAGAACTTGGAAGTCCTTCTTGTTAAATATGTATGAACAAAAAAGTACGCAGTCTTTCACCAAAAAAATCATTAAGAGTATCCTCTATAGAGAAATGAGGAGGAGGTTGGGCTGCTGGCTTCAAACAATGAAGATTTTTGGACTAATTTGAAAATGTCTAGATTTGGGAATAAGTTTAAAATATGAAAATATCAAGATTTGAAATTATCGAAATATCCGTTTTAATTAAAAGCGTAATTGCATTAACTTCTGAACTGTTTTCCAAATTTATCGGTTTGTCAGGATTTTCTTCTCCTTCTGATGTGATTTGTTGCGGGACATTCTCATATTTCCAAAAACCCTTATAAAATGCAGCCGTCCATTGGCGTCGAAAAAGATTTTAAATGATCTTCAAATCCTATCGCAGCTCTTATCAATATCCTTGCGCCTCCAAACTCTCTAGGGTTTCTGTACCAAACCCAGAAAAAAAAAATGCCGAAGAAATCAGCGACCACCCCGGAGACCGACTCATGCTTGCGGTTCGCCGATTGCATCGGACTGCAGAAGGCTGCATCCGATGGCAAAAACTTTGTGTTCTCGCCGCTGTCCATCCGTTGCGCCCTCAGCCTCGCTGCAGCTGGAAGCAATGGATCCACCCTCGACCAGTTCCTCTCCTTCCTCGGCTCTCGCACCCTCGATGATCTTAACTCGGCAACGGAGAAACTGATGGCGTCAGTTAAAACGGCGACTGGCCCTAATCCTAAACCTAATGAAGATGGCGAATATGGGTCTCATGTCTCTCTGGCCAACAGTTTATGGTTCCACCAGGCATTGACTCTGAAGCCAGCGTTCAAGGAGATCGCCGCTTCTGTCTACGGTGCTGAGGCCAGACCTGTCGACTTTCACCCGTCCAAGGTACTACTCTTTTTCCCTTGTTTTTCGATGTTCTAATAGAGGAGTTACGTACAAAATATTTATCTGGCTGCAAATCAAATGATCACAATTCATAATTATAGAAAATCCATGACCACTTGGCATGCTTTCTAGGTATGAATTAATTGTGCTAAGCAATG